GGGGGGGGGGGGGATGAGGAATTGTTGTTTGGCCGGAAGGTTGACCGGTGTCCGTGGAGAGGGGCGGAGGTATGGATGACATTGTGAGCTGCCTTTGGATAGGTTGGGGGGAGGGTATACAAAGGATGGAACTTGGGATCCAAGGATATGTGAAGAAGGTAGATAAGGGTCTGCGGGCCGGGGCGGTCAACGACTGAGTGGGGGTTAGGAATAATTGAGTGAGGGTTGAGAACGTAGAGGGTATACTGGGGGGGAACGGATTGTGAGAGGAAGTGTTTTATGCTATCCTGGAAATTAGCCGATGCAAGGGGAGTAGCACGGGCGAAGTAAGTTAGAGAAGGTTTGGGAGGGGGGCTTAGAACGTAAAGAGAACGGTAATAGAGAGGGTAAGCGATTTGTGTGTCTGTTTGGGATAGAGGGGTATGGGAGGGTTTGGGATATTCTTGATTTTGACGAAAGAGACGGGAGGAAAATCAACAAGTTGGTGGGCAATTGTGATGTGGCAGAAAAGGAAAGGGTGCTGGGTACTTAGGTTGATAAGAAGGTGTTTGAGATTGAGCGCCAAGGTATACGAAAGTAAGGCCGGTTGGGTTAACCTGAGGAGGTAAGAAACGTATTTATTAGGCGAAAAAAATTAGAAGATAGGAAGGGGGGTCGAGGTTGAATTAGGAATTGAGGATTTGTATGGGGAAGAAGATGGGGGGGTTGGCAGAAGGTTGAACAAGTGAGGCGAGGGAGTGTCGCTTAATGGATTAGTATTTCTGCTGGGTACAAACTGTTGAACGGGGCAGGGTGGTGGATTTTAGTGAAACAAGGGTTTGACTTAGAAATCCGCGGCACTATGTGCAGATAGGTGCACGTCGAGGACATGGCGTGAGAAGCCGCCGTGTCTTGATACATATAGAACGCGTTGAAGATGACAACAAGTAGCATCTCTGACTCGCTAACTCGCCCCATGCTCCCTTACCTGTTGGTGAAGTTTGCCCGGCTATGGTCGGGCGGAGTGCTGGGCGATGGCCACTTCCTTCGGATTCGTTCCGAGCTGGTGGCTAGCGAGACCGGTTCTCCAGAACCAGTAGCGAAGCGGCGGAGCGCGTAGCGCCAGCCGTAAGCCTCTCCCCCCGACAATTCGACCAGAAGATTCAATTTGTGTGTTTGGAGAGATTTTGGGCCTCACTGCACTACTCTCGAAATGTGCAAAACGAGAGTGAATCTTCAGCTAGAATATGGAAAGATACATGGCCATGATTTTTGTCTTTTATGCATGTGGAGAGTCGTGCAGCGAGGCCCTTTGCATGGCAAGCCCCGAATCCATCGAGCCTCTCGTCCTGCAAGCCCCCGCCCACCGCCCGCTGTGATGATGAATGGAAACAAAAAAATCTAGCGGCCTACACTCTTCACCCGAATAGAACGCCCGGTTATTATAGCCGTATTCGGAGATACGGCGAAAATGACCGGGCGTTCTGTTCGGGTGCTAGGTCCCACTTACACGAATTAAGAGATGTTGACCGTAGACAGCACAGATCAACGGTCAGAATCTCATAATCCGTGCAAGTGGGACCTTGCCCCGGGTGAAGACGGTAGCTCAGATGGTAAGGCACGCAAGTGGCATTTCAGGAGGTCTTGGGTTTAATCCCCTTTTTGGGCGCCTGTACCTTCCTGGGCAAGCTTGGCGCCCGCCACCTAGAGATATGCCGTGGTCCCCCCACACGTGGCATTGAGCAGAGACTGCTGATGTTCATACGGGGAGGGGACCAGGGCAAGGTCCCACTTGCGCAAATTAGGAGATTTCGGCCGTTGAGATTTGCTATCTACGGTCAGTATCTCTTCATTCGTGCAAGTGGGACCTAGCCCCGAGGCACAGTGGCTGGCCCATCAAAGAAGCTCAGTCCTGATGCCACCGGCTGACCCCTGGGCGGTATGGCCCACCTGGGGGGCAAGTCCCACTTGGCTGAATTCTTCATTTCTGGTTGTTGATCTTCAGCATAGACGGTCAGAAATCAAGAATTGGGGTAAGTGGGACTTGGCCCCTGCTGTAGCAGGTATCGCACCTGTGGGCGCAGCTACCGCATGTTCCCTCGTTTGAGGCTTGAGCACGGATGTGGCTGCTAGGGGGTATAATGACAAT